GTTTCCCTCTATAAAGATGGGTTGTTGTTTTTTTACCCTGGGTACTCTGGAGAATAAATCTACACCCTCTTCCCCGTGACAGCCCTTCATGTATCAGAAGACTGCTGCTATATCTCCTCTTACCTTTCTCTTCTTTAGGCTTAACATACCCAGTTCCTTTAATTGTTCTTCATAGAATTTAGTCTCCAAGCCCCTCACCATCTTTGTTGTTCTTCCTTGCATAATAGAGATAAATGTCATATAGACCATGGTGAGCCCTTAGTCTTCTAGGTATCATTAACTTATTTTTGTTTAACAATGATACCTAGAAGACTAAAGGCTCACCATGGTCTGTATGATAATTATCTCAGATTAGATGGAAAGAAAGTTTGCTGAGATCATTTGTGACCACAGTCCAGTGGTTTTCAGTCTACTCAGTAATTTCTTTAAAAATTAGCTTAATTTCTTGTTTTGTTTTATCTTGCTTTGCTTTGATTTTGTTTCAAACACACAAAGCGTATACATTTCTCTGAATTTAGCCCTATTTCTTTTAACAGTATAATATACAAATTAATTTTAATTATATCTGCTTTCTCCACCTGGGGCCCTCTAGAAGTGTTGATGGCTGGGAATTCTGGAAATTGTAATTCCCAACATATCTGAAGGAATCCAGATTGAGGTAGATTGAACTACATATTATTATTTTAATATATTGCTTAATCCCTCTTCTCATTTTTTTTAATGGACATTGCCATTGAATAAATGGTTCAGTTTTGTTTATATTGTTTAATCTTGAAGTTCATATGAATATTACTAATTTTTTTCAGCAGGTGGAGACAGTAACATTGTTCAGTTACTTCTTGTTCACCTTTTATGGAGGTTTCCTGGATTGGCCCATCTGGCACTGTTTTGGGTGCTCATGTATAAATATAATATTTTTGTGCCTTCAAGCCAGTGTTGACTCCTGGTGACTGCCTAGACAGGTCCCTACAGTTTTCTTGGCAAGATTTCAGAAGTGGTTTGCCACTGCCTCTTTCCTAGGGCTAAGAGAGAGTGACTGGCCCAAGGTCACCCAGCTGGCTTTGTGCCTAAGGCAGGACTAGAACTCACAGTCCCACGGTTTCTTGCCTGATGCCTCAGCTATTTATTACACCAAACTGGCTTTATTATGGCTGTACATACATAAACATTAATTAAAGGAAAGCAAGATGGCAAGTTGAGGAAAATGTCCCATACCACTTAGAAGGATTCTGTGATGTAATACATTTAATTCTGAGTAGTGGGCAAAGATTATAGATTTCATAGGACTTTGTGAAACTTTTCATAGCAGTTTATGAAGCATGAAGGCCAGAGGTCTGGCCCAGTTAAGTTTTGCCAATCACACAGCACCCCATGCTGTTGCTTTGGTATGAAATTCACAGTAATATATATATAGTCACAGAATGCTACTTAGACAGATACGAGTACTTTACAGTTCATTGTGCTGCTGATAGGACTAGATCTGAGTGATGACCTGCAAATGAGTTGCACTACATCTCTTGAACTTTCTGGCCAGCATGGCCATTTCATAGTCACCCATAGTAACGGAATTGTAGGGAATTGTAATCTAATATATCTAAATCATTTGGGAAAGCATGCTCTGTGCCATTATGGGACAACAGCTTTTACTGCATTAAGATGTAAGCCTCTATTATAGATATTTTTAAAAATGAATTGGAGGGAGCAAGAAGCAAGCATGTTATAGGACAGAAAGAGTCCTCCATTGAACTGATGGAGGATTGAACTCTGATTGAACTCTTGAATCAACTGAGATACTGCCAATCTAAGGTGGTTGTTTCAGTGAAACCACTTTTTTTCCCCCCAAAATACAGTACTGAGTTGGTGGAGTTCCTCAATCAAGACAACCAACATGCGTTTACATAATTAACCTAGTTCTTGAGCTAAATGCACAAGAAAACATGGTACAATGAACTTGTAAATAGTTTTGGGCTTCTTTTGTTATGCCTTCCTTCCCACCACTGACCACTTCTCAGTAGATCTATATCGAACTATGTCAGATTAATGTAGTTCCAGGAGCACAGCCTCTAAATTCCATAGCCACACTATCAAATCCAAGCCCCTCCCCCCAAATGGTCTAGTACACCAAATACCTAGTATTTGGCCTGAACACACATTTCCTGAAGAATTCATAGTTTCAGTGGTCTTGCCTTGTTATACTTTGGGAAAATGAGATAATTATAACTTTATAGGTTTTTAATTTTTAATGCATAAATAGCACTAGTGATTATCTGGCACAATGGCACCATTTTCTATCGGTGCAGTGAAGATCATGGGTAAAAATATACAGCGTATAAACAACCAAAGCAGAGACAGCAGAAATTAAATTTGGTACAAAGTTCCATTGCAACATAAAATTTGTTAACATATTGAATGAATGAACGAACGAACCAGGACAATAAAAATGTTTTTGCCTGATCTGAGAAAAGAAATAAAGTAGGTATCTAGTATGTCTCATTGGGGAGGGCAATCCACCATATCTCACCGTGCAAGTGACCATCACCATCCACCAGAGGAAACATTCAGAAATGACCTAATGGTTTGAACATTCCTTCAGGTGCTGTTTCTGGACAGTATCTAGCCTTGGTGGAGCTGCGTTCTGATCCAGCAGGTTCTTTAAATCTCTTAGTGCAGGAAAAATCTCTTTTTTCCCAGGGACCCAATTACGAGCTTTGATCATTTTCAAACAACAAATGTACAAATTTGGAAAAAGATGTCTAGATACTCTTCATGATGGACTTTACTACTTATCCCAAAGTTCTTCTGCACAACCTTCACTGAAATGAATGATAGTCACTCAAGAAAACCATTAGGTTGATATCAGTTAGGAAAGCTTTCTTCTGGGATATCTTCAAGCTTGCTTTAGCTCTGCAATCCAACAGTCAATTCTTGCCCTTTCAGCTCACTGTTGGCTGTTCAAAGCCTGACTCTCTAGCTCTGCATCCCCTTTCTTTACCTACAAAGTGCTGACAACATCTTCATAGCATCTTTTTTTTTCCAAAGTATGCATTAAATCAGCCACAATGAGTTTATCAGACCCTTCCATTTTAATATCCATCAGCATACCATGCCCCTGTACATACAAACTCACACAGATACATGCTCTTTAATCAATTAAAGTGCCCTTTTTGGCTCCAACCATGTTGGATGTTCAGATGATAATAGAATTCAAGAGCGGGGGGGGGGGGGGGAGAACAAGATGTAACTTTTGTCAAGTTTCACTGTATGAAATGCATATTCATCTTCTCATTAAATTCAGCTGTGGACATCAAGTAGCTTAGTTTTCCTAGAGGAATTTGGACCCAAATCATTGTTTCTCTATGACATAGGGATATATGAAAAATCCACTATAATTCATGCATACTGTACTATGTAGTAGCTGACTGCAAATTCTGAGAGCCATAGTCTGACACATCCAGAAGTTGACTGGAATCATCTCCCCAAACTTTCAGGCAGGGATCTTTCCCAAGCCTACCAAGAGATGCCAGTGATTGAAGATGGGAGTTCCCAGACATTCAAATGAAAGGGGATATAGCCTAAGAGATGCTAAAGGATCAGAATTCAACCCCTTTTGTTAAGTGGGTGCTCCATCTAGTGATTTATATTAGATAAAGAATCTAAGAATATTAGCTAATGGTGTCAGAACTCATGAGCAACTTTCTGGTGAGAACTGAACAACTCTGAAAACCTTTCTCCTGTTTTGGCCTCCGATTAGTTTTCTCAGCCATTTTTAGGGTTTTTGTTTTTTTTAAATTATTCACTGAAGCAACATTGCCTAATCCAAGGGTTCTATACTCGGGGAATAGAAAGACCTATGAGGAAAACATTATCAAATAATCCATTACTGATGGCAAAACCCAAATGGCTTATAGTAAAATGAATTAGAATCAGCAGGTGATTAGTGTCCCATATAGGCTGGTATGTATGTGGCAAGGAATTCTGGGAATAGCAGTCTAACACATTTGAAAAGCGCCAGGATGGGGAAGGCTCTCATATTCTGTGCGGCAGAGCAAGAGCAGAAAATTGATCTAAAGCTTTCAACCCTCCAGCCTGGCCCACAACTTCATACCCTCTCAGAGAAGACACAGCCATTGCCTAGTGTCTGGGCTTGAGACATAATCCTGGGTGGGTAGAGGCAGAGATATTCCAGCATCAGCACCCCTGATTTGTGCGGTTCCAGGGAAGCATGAGGGCAGCTATTTTACCCAGTTGCTTACTAGGAAGAAAAAGCAACCAACGCTAAGGCAATTAAATATTAAATAATTTCTGCCTCTTCTATACTGATTCTCCATCTTTTTAGGATTCCTCCTTGCAGAATAATTATCCTGCCCTTTCTGAACTTCCATCCACCACCCCAGGTGGAGAAGAATGACTCCAGCAGGATCCAGTAGGCTGTTTACTAGGGAGATGGTGAAATGATAATAGGGAAGGGCTCAGGATTTATACAGATGTAAACCAGGTCCCAGGGAATCTTTTCTGATCCCTCTTCTTTGCCTTAAGGGCCTACCAGTACCTGTGGCTGGAGTACAGTACAGTTTTTCTTAATAATGACTTCATATTACCTGCACTGCTGAGCCCATAGCATGCTAATTTCCTAAGCAGGTGAAATACATTTTAACAATTTAATAAATGAACTAAAGCAGAATTGAATGACAAAAGGAAACACATGCTGCTGTCAAAGCACTCTTGGCCAAAGGTTGGTGGTTTTTTAAAAAAATATTTATAGGATTAATCCATTGGTAGTGCATGCAGCAGAACTCTCTTGACATTTCCCAGGAGGGTCATCCTTATTTGTCTACATCTGCTTAGCCTTTTAAATACAGAGTAAAGCTATTTTTTTGAGGGAAAGTCAGGGTAAGGAAGAGAAAATGGATGAAACTCAGAAGTCATGCTTTTTTTAAAAATCAGTTTATAGCTTCTTATACTGCCCAGTAATGCCTGTATCTGGTTCTGTGGATTTTTAGTGCTTTCCGTGGGATCTTCAATCAAACCCAGTTACCCAGGCAAGTTTCTTATGCTTAAGTTTTTAAACTGCACCTTTTTTTCAGTAGAATTCTTGACTTTCTTGATGCAACTCTGGACACCTCTTGTAGTGCTTTTAATAAGTTCTGTAGAACACCCTTCCCAACTTCCTGCTCTCCAGATGTGTTGGATTACAATTCTCAGGATTATGGGAATTTGGGGAGTTGTTGATCAGCACAACTGGAGACGAACACATCTGGAGGGTACTAGTGTAGGAATGCTCTGAACATTCCTCTATGTTTGTGTATGTTTGTTTCAATGGGAACTGAGCAAATACATAACCTGTGTGCTACAAAAGTATATACTAATAATATATACAGATAGTCCTCAAGTTATGGCAGTAATTGGGATCAGAATATCTGTCACTAAGCAATACAGTCGTAAAGTGCGATGTCACATGACTGCATCGTTTAGCGATGGTAATCCCTGTTGCTATTGTTAACTAAATCTCACTGGTCATTAGGCAAGGACCCACCCCAATCCAATCCAATCCACTCCTGGCTTGGTAAGGTAAGGGACTGCCTCCTCTTCAACTCCCCCAACTGCCTATTCCTCCCCCATCTCTGTCCTTTTGGCAGCCTTGCACTCTGCCGCCTCTGCCAGCCTTGCTGCCCTGTGCTCCACTTGCCCAGCCAGGCCTGCCACCCTACACTCACTGGCTCTGCTGCCCTGTACTTGCTGACCCTGCTGCCTTCAGCTGACCTTCACCGTCTTCCTCCCGCTGTTGACGAGGTGCATCCGGCCTGGCCCTATGCAAGGCAGCTGCTGGCTACACCAGGCCTTCTTCCCAAGGCCACTCACATCATTCTCCAAATAGCACAGGCCCTTCTAGCGATGCTTTGGAAGACTTCTGAGGCCTTCTAAAACCTTGCAGGAAGGTCACACCTGCCATTCTTCAAATTGCACAGGCTGTTCTTGCGATGCTAGAGAAGGCCTCAGAAGTCTTCTGAAGCATCATGAGAATGGCCTGTGCAATTTGGAGAACGGTGTGAGCAGCCTTGGGAAGAAGGCCTGGCATGGCCAGCAGCTGCCTCGTATAAGGCCAGGCCAGGTGCACCTCATCAATAGTGGGAGGAAGACAATGAAGATCAGCGGGGGGCAGCAGGGGCACCCAGGCAGCAGGGCCAGCAAACACAGGGCAGCAGGAGCAGTGGTGCAAATGGAGTACAGGGCTGGCAGGGGAGCGGAATGCAGGGCAGCAAGGGCGGCTGGGGCTTTCCACTTAGGCGCTGGGATGGCTGGCTGCAGCATGGGGTTTGAGGTGGCCTTTGATGCAGTGGCACTGGGGCTGAAGTAGAGTCCTGTAAGCAGTGGCGGCTGGCTGACACTGCTGAAGGACCCAGGCCTCTACTTCAGTCTCAGTACTGCTCCCACCGCTGAGGAATGCCACTGTGCAGGGTGGCCAAAAAGGAAGAGATGGGAGAAATACGCAGGTGGGGGGAGTTGAAGCGCCCCTGCAGTCATAAGTGTGGGCAGGCTGCCAAGCACCTGAATTTTGATCACATGACCGCAGGGCCCTGCAATGGCTGTAACTTTGGGGACTGGGCGTAAGTATCATTCGTTCAGTGTTGCCGTAACTTTGAACAGTTGCTGAACAAAAGATCATAACTTGAGGACTAATTATAGTATATTGTTCCTTTTTTGTTGTGGCCACAGTGGAACCTAAATAAGAGGGGTTTTTTCCTGCAATACACAGAACACAGCTAGAAGTTCCACCTTAATTCTAATGGTAGTTAACATTTGCATCAAGCAGTCTTTGCCAGCCAGTGCTGTTGAGATGTGTTGGGCTACAATTTCCAGAATTTCTACCCAACATGACCTGAGATCTGTAAGCCAACACATCTAAAGGAGGCCAGCTTTAGTCGTACCAGGATCTGCCTTTTCTTTTCAACTTGGCCTAGTGAAGTAGGAGGAGTTCTAAATAGTTGCCTTAAATCATTGATGAAATGTATGAAACTGGTTAATAATAAATTATGATTAACTATAAATTACAGTATGATTCTTGTTAGTGCCATAAGTGTATTTCCGTGGTTAGACAGGTTTGCCCTTCTGAAGATTCAGGTTTATCTCTTACGTGCTTTGGGATTCCATCTTGCTGTTGGGTGCTCAGGTCAAGACCGTAACCAAGAGTGCCTTTTGCAAATTAAGATATTAGGAAATATGTTATATCAATGTTGGACGCCCTACTCCATTCCCCTAACACAGTTGATTTTCAGTTTTTCTCATAAATGGATGAATGATAAAATTAAAAAATCATGATCATAATAACTACTGAAGAACATACGGCTTCTTGGCTCATTGGAAATTGCTGGGTTTGACTATAATAGTTTGGGCTCAGTTACCTTAAGGGCTGACTTCCCACTAATATACCTATTAAAGTCAAGGTGGTCAGGATCCCTTCTTCAAAATCCTTAATTTTCTCTAGGATTGTCACTGGGAACAGAGCCATTTTGGTAGTGGCATCAAGGTTGTAAAACTTTCAGAAGATACCATTCTGTATTCTTGCTTCTGCTTTGTAGATGATGGATTAAAGTGATGTTCTTCTACAGATCCTTTGGAACCTGCTAAAAGTGCTTCTCTGAGTTTTCCCTGTTATTGTTTATATGTTGTGTTGTGTAAATAATTTATCATTTTAATTCAAGATTTTTCAAGTCAGGTTGGACTTTCAAAGGTTAAAGGCAAGGCTATTAAAAAGGCAGCTTCTGTTTCCACAAAAAAAGCTTGGTGCAATGTTAAATTTGCTGTGCAGAATGGGATAAACAGACAACTGAACATGAAGCTCTGCTAGCTTTGTGATTAGGTAAGGAAAGCAGTACATTTCCTTTACCTACCTATGAGCTTTGAAAATTGAGATGATATATGGCTACAGCTGACTGCCAAAATGAAGGTCGTACAAACATTATCTAGAGCCAGTGGAGTCCCGCAAGGAACACTTCATTTATTTGTTCATGTACATTTTTGTATTCCTCTATAGCAAATTCTCTTTCAGCAATTTGAACGGAGAAAATCCAGTTTCAATTGATCAATCCTGCCTTGGTTTTCTTTTTGGAGCCTGGGAACAGCTACCTGTCTCAGTAAGTGATGTCTGGGACAGAAGAGGCTTGGGCTCTGTGTATTAAAACCACAGTCGCAGCCCCTGTAATACCTCTCTGGCTATAGGTCGCTTCTGCTGGGAGTATATATATCACCAAGCCCTGACATGGCTCTTCATTTCAACTCTTGAATTGGCAGTTTTAATATAACATCTGGGGAAATTATAACTGCCTTGGAGCTGTGCAAATTACTGTTTTGGGAGAGAAAAAAAGCTAGCAAAGGTATTTTGTGTTTGCCCAAGCATTGTAAATCAATACACAAGTTTTTTAAAGTAAATGATTCATAATAATATAACACTACTGACATTTCCTGTTTGCTGACTGGGTGACAGGAATGAGGAAAGAGCAGCTCTATTTTCTGTGGCACCTCTTAAGGTTTGCTGGGAAAGGGGAGAATGGGGAAGAGGGCTCATCAAAGGCACTTGGTAGGATTTTTTGAAAAAGTGTTATCAGACATTTTATTTCTCTCTCTTTCTCCTTCCTTCCTTCCTTCCTTAGCTGCTGAACTCTTGGCTTTTACTGATGTAGGTATTGTGGAAATCCAGTTGCTGCTGACATTTTGATGGCTACATAGTTTGTAAGAGGGAAAAAAGCAATAGTTAAAAAGAGAAAACTGTTGCTTTCCACATCATTTTGCCTCTGTCTTTAAGAAATATAAATGGCCTTTCAGGCCATGAAAAAAACACTCTCCTGTGCATTGATTCTGGTTTCTGTTTAAGTGGTGCCAATGAAAAGCTGCAATCTCAGTATAACAAATTCCACTTTGTTTAATACCCATCAAGCCAATTGGTTACTAAATCGCAGCTGGATATGGCACTGAAATTGGACCTGTACAAAAATGATTCTCCTTCCATTTTCTTCCTAAAACAATGTCTGAAATCTTTCCTGCTGCATTTAATCCCTTTTTGAAAGCATAATCATAAGGTAAAGGTTAATGACAAGCTACTGATCTTGCTGCTTCTATTCCATAGCAATTGGGGCATTTAAAATAAGTAAATTTGAAACAGTGAACCAAGATCCTGTGGGAAGCCCACCAGCAACATCAGAAGGGCACCCAAAATATTCGAGAGGGTTGAGCAACTCTCCTGTAAGGGAAAATTACAATATTTGGGGCTTTTGAGCTTAGGAACAAATGGTAGAATAATGTACAAAATAAATACCCAGTACAAAGAAAGTGGAGATATTAATGTCCCTTCCCCATACTATTAGAATCCAGCGGGGCCATCCAGTGAAATGGATAGTAGGAGATTTGGGTCTCATCAAAGAAAGAACACCTTAATGCTCCTTAATATAGTAAGTTGTGGTATTTGTTACCCTAAGTTGCAGTGATGGTTCCCGACTGAAAAGTTTTTAAAAAGGCTTATAAAAATGTGGAGAAGGCGGCTTTTGGTACCTACAAGTTATGACAATTTTCAGTGTCAGAGGCAAGATGCCTATTCATTCCAGCTCTCGGGCACCACAAGCAGGAGCTTTCTATTGTACTGCACCTGGCTGAACTACTGGAATGCAGTCTACATGGGACTACCTTAGAAGACCACTCAGAAACTGCAGTTGCCATACAATGCAGCATCTTGTGTGCTAATTGGCACTATATACCATTGGTGGTCTTCTAAGGTGCATATTGCATCCCTGCTGCAAGCTGTTCACCGGCTGCTAATAGGTTTATGGGTGCAATTTAAACCGGTGCTTTTAACCTATAAAGCCCTCTGTGGCTTGGTGCTAAGGTACCTGGAGGACTGCTTCCTTAAACCAGAATCAATCATCTGATATAACAAACTCCCAAACTATATTTAAGCCAAACTATAAAGTGTAACAACTTGACTCCCTGGTTTGATTTACCACCCCCATCTCATAGAAAAATCACATTGGCCCATAGAAAAAACTTCTGG